CTGCCTGACTGCTAATGCACTGCAGAATTCACAGTTGAGCTTTCCTTGAGGCTCCAAGGGGTGTGACTAATTAAGGAAAAGACTTTTAGTCCTCATTTCCCTTTTAGGAAACTACCCAAAGCCTGTAACATGACATCATTTTACAGAGAAGTCTTTTTCTCCGGGGTGAGGTATGCACTAAGAGATGACATGTGTTTGAACTCCCAATGCTTTCTCAGTTTCTCACAGCAAACTTGAAAAACAAACTGATTCTCAGCAGAGGGCATTGTGAGCTTATGGATCTGATCACGTCTGTGAACAGTATCTGCTGAGAATCACACGGAGAAAATCAGATTGCAGAGTTTTCCTGGTCTCTTTTTCCTTCCCAGTGTTATAACATTTTGGATCATTTGAATTGTATATGGATTTCTATTTAAATCAGTCATTTGCTGGCAGCAAAACTAGAACATTTCCTGTTTTTCCTCTCACTGTAATCAGGATTTGGCTGTCCAAATTAGGACTGCCCTAATTACTCCTCAGCAGGTGCCAATCTGGGGGAGGGCAATAAATGGGAAGAGAGGAAGTAAGGACACTTCACATCTCTAGACTCACACAACAAGAAAACACATTCTCCCAGACCTGAAAAATCTGATATAGTAAATGGGCAAGAAGTACCATGGGGTCATGTGTGTGAGGGGGTGTACACGTGTGACTGCTGCTGTATAACATAGAGATGACTTTCTATCTACTCCTTTAGCAGGCTTCACAGCGTCACTTAAAAATGCAACACAGGTCTTTAATTCAACAGCCAAAGCAAACTCCTGTATGTGGAATAATCTGAGGGTGGGCACCACGAAGTGGACGACATTCCAGAGACTTTGTCCAGGAGGAACGTCCAAGAGGTCCAGTCTGTTGGGGGACAGAATTAAGATATTCTTGATGACACAAAATGTCAAAAACTAAAATGGCTGTGTTCCAGAAGAGGTAGTACAAGGAAGACGTAGATTTCCTGTTCTGACAAAATGGTACAATATAAATGACACAGAAATAACTAAATTCTTATTTGAAGGGTAGACCACAATAAACAAAAATGATCCTGTTCCTGCCTAAATTGAACCCTTCTGCTTGTGCATTAGATGTCACCCCCACCCAGCTAGCCCCAAACACAAGTTCAGTAAGTCTCCCCTTCCTTTCCTACACCAACAGTTTTGTCTCTCTTCCAAATTGTTTTCTTCAAAAACAGACATGCACTAATTTCTCCTATTTAAAAGAACACATCAGGGCCGGGGATATAGCTCAGTGGCGCAAGCGCCTGCTTGGCAAGCACAAGGTTCTGAGTTCGATTCCTGGTACAAACAAACAAGCAAATAAATAAATAAATAAATAAAGGAACACATCAAACCACAAGAAACCCTTCATGAGGTCTCCAGGTATTACCTCATATGTCTGTTCCCCTTTGCAGTTAAACTCATGGTGAAAGTTTTTCCTATAACTACAATTTTCTATTCCCATTTTCCTTTTTTAAAATTTAACTCTTCTAGTGTTCATCCCTACTACTCCACAGAAAGAGCTCTTATGACAGTCCCCAGTGACCATCACATTGCTCACTTCATCACTCAGTTCATCACCTTTCTCCATCTCTTTATTTGGTTTCCTGGACACCAAGTTCTCCTGACTTTTATCTGACTTTACTGGTTGCTACTTCTCAGCATCTTTTGTTGGTTGCTCTTCATTTTGGAAACTTCTTAAAGTCCGCAATCCTCTTCTGTGCCATGTATATACACTTAACCCCATAGAGACTGCATGGTTTTAAATGTCATTTACATATACTACATGTACATTGACAGCTGGCAAATATTTATTTCCAGGCCGGAGTGCTCTCCTTTTGATGTATACATCCAACTGTCTGTTACAGTACCCTCTCTCTCTATGTGGATGTGTCATAGACACTCCAAATTGAAATGCTACGCTGTCTTCCCCCAAACTTGCACTGTCCTCTATCTTAATAGTTGGTGGCTTCATCTTTTCACTGAGCAAATAAAAGAGTTGTTTTGGATCCCCTTTTTCCCCTTCTTGCACTCCACATCTAAAATCTGGTAGAGAATTTCCTTGGCTATCACTTCAACATACATTCAGCATTCACCCATTTGTCACCATCTCTGCCACTATGTACAGCATGAGCTGTGTCCACTTCTCACCTCAACTAACACAACAGCCCTTAATTGGCTGCTGTGCTTTCATCTGTCTCCCTAACAGCATATGTTCCACTCTTACATCTGAAAGGGTGAGCAAGCTCAAGCTGCTTCTAGACACATTTGCTTCAATGTCTCTCCATTTCACTCAGAGTAGGACTCAACATCTGCACAGTGGTTGAGCTTTCTGCTTCCTCAAGGCCATCCTCCAATACTCGCTTTACTCCGACACCCTGACTGTGCTGCAGAGTGCCGATTTATGGTCACAGCTCTCTGCCAGGCACTCTTTCCTCAAGTATCTTGTTCAACTCTCAGTTTCTTCCAGCCTTTCCTCAAACCTCAACTCTACAGAGCCTTTCTGGGGGACCCTAATTTAAATTATAACCTCCTTGTCCTATATTTCTGAGGTATGTACCTTCATTTTTTTCCCATAGTACTTATTATATTTTAAAACTGCTTATGTCCTATATTTTTACCTCTCCTATCCATCTTCAATAGACTGTAAATCCCAAGAAAGGAGGTATTTATTTATTTATTTATTTTTTCCCCCGGTACCGGGAATCGAACTCATGACCTTGCGCTTGCCAGGCAGGCGCTGTGCTGCTGAGCTAAATCCCCAGCCCAGTATTTATTTGTTTCAATGCTTCATCTACAAACTCATACTCTATAAGGAACGTAACTCTAGAAATCACATTAATGAAATGTTTTAAGGCTGCAGTGATCAACAGTTTCAATAGTTACTGAGATCGAAGAATAGTGTAATAGATTTAATGAATTTAGAAGACTTTGTCTTGGGATATTGAAATAACTTAAGGTATGGAATCACAGAACCATTCCTAATAATGATGGAGGTCTCCTAATGTAAGGAAAAATGGCAAAGAGCATATCCTTGAGTTTCACAAAGGGAAGGAAAATTAGAGAAAAAGGTAAATTTAGAATAATGGGCAAAATTCTGAACAGAGTATTACTCATAGTTTGTGAGCAGTTAAGAAGTGGTACTCCTCAGGAACCAAGAAGACTTCACAAAGAACAAGTCACATGATTTTGTTCTTTTCTTAATGGACTTAAGTGAAGAAATGGTAAGTTTGGGACTTGGTTGTCTTAACCCCCATGGTTAATTTGAAAACTTCCCCAAATGAGAATTCTTAAGGAATGGTTCAGCGCAGCAGAAGCAGGGGCCCAAAAAGTAAAGGAAAGGGAGGATTCCCGAATGAACTGTAGAGTATTATCCATAGCTGGCTTCTAGATTTCTGTCTTGGGGAGATCTGAGGAGGGATTATCTCCATTAAAAGCATAAGGAAGGAATCTGATAAAGGCTCTTATAGGACAGATAATAAAAACGGGGCTGCAGAAAGGGGTGATAAAAGCTATCATCACCATCAGCAGCAGCATCAAAATAGCAATCACTTATTTTTTACACAGTATACTATTTTGCTTAAAAACAGTTGTAAAAACTGATATTTTTTGAGATACCCTTTTGAGGAAGGACTATTGCTATCTCTTTCTGCAGAAAAGAAAATTAAAGCATACAGGCTGAGTAGCAAACTGTTCAAGGTCAGATAGCGTATAGGTGAAAAGCTGGCATTCGAACTTAGGTTGCAACGCCTGCTCTTGAGATACAGGCTGGGTTCCTACTTAGAAAAACATACGAATTCCTGAAGCACTGTATAATATATAGATGTAACTGTGGATAAATCTCACTCACTACGGCAGTGAGGGAGGTTCAACATCAATCTATACTGTGTTCTTTTGTTGGGTTAATATTCCCTGAAGATTGTTTCCTGGCTCACTTTTAATGACTCATTATCTACTATCCAATGTCTACATTTCCAAGTTTTATTTTTTAAGATCCTTTGGTGGTTCATTTTACTCTGCTTATTCAACATTATCTCCTAGTACCTTCCACTGAGAACCCAGTTCCAATCAGACTTTCTCTGCCTTATCCCCTCCAAATATTTGGTAACTCCCTACGGGCCTTCTCTCCTCCCTGCAGCACCTTTATGTATACTCTTCCCTCTACAGAGTCATCTGTCTGGCACATATCTCCCGCAAAATCACTCCTGGCTGCAACTCCCCTTTCTTTGTCATGTTTTCTTCTTTCTGCCCTTAATAGCCTGTATAGTACAGGTAGTACCTAATTATATACTGTACAGCACCTTTCTAATCTTAATTACATATTACATAATTTAGCATTTTATTGTACATTCTTTTTTCTGTAATTGTTTCACATCTTCTCAACTAGACCATAATGTGTTCCTATTACTAGCTTTCTATGAGAAATGCTATAATCTTTTCCATAAGCCCAGAGATTTTTGAATCCAAGGAAAAGAAATCAGAGGAATAACGAATGGTTTTCAAGTCCCTAACATCAGTCCACTCACTGATGCTGAGAACAGGCATAACTGTCCTTTTGTAACAACAGGAATGCTAGCGATCGAACATTGGGAGGAATATATCTGTAAGAATGAAAAGAAATTTCTTCAAGGATCTTTTCATCCATAAGATGGACTATTTAAGATATAGAATTTCCTTGAAGAACACAAATCTTATAATTCTAGGTTTTCATGAAATTAAGACTGACTCCTCAGCTGAGCCACTCAACAGCAGACTGAAGTGTCTCTGTTTCTTCCTCCCTTTTATTCCCTGTGCTGGTAAGACTATTTAAGGGTCTAACAAAATATTTTTGTGGGGCATGTTCTCAGCGGACCCTTTGATAAATTCAGGAATGAGCCTTTTCTACCATAGTGGAAGGAAATGGAGACATTATTAATAATCAGAACCACCATCAGGTTCTAAAATGACTTTGCTTAACCACTAGCAAGACTCTACCTGTAGGCTGCAGAGCAGGTGTCCTTATATTCCTGGAGCTTCACACACACCATGTTGAGGAACTGATCAGAATATGCACTCAGGTCATGCATCAGGTTCATGAGGTCTTGCACTGTCTTCTCCACAATGATCGTGCTCTGGAAACACACAAAAAAGACAGGACACAGAAGCTCATGAGATTTCTTTACCCAAGTAATGAGTCGCACAGATGAAAGGATATCATAATTTAAGGCATTTGAACTTTCCAGAGGATATGATGTTTAAAAATATGGACTAAAATGAACAAGAAAATAAGAATCTTACATAGTGCTCATCTTCCAAAGACCAGTGAAGGTGTTTTCTCTGAAATGGCCTGATAGGGATTTTCAAATTCAAATTGATTTCATGGACTTTTTGACATCTACTTTGTTTTTTTAAAGAATGAAAATGTATATCTAGTGGAAGTCTGATTTATCACCCCAGGTCTCTACTGGAGAGTGGGACTTATGACCCACAACAAAGAAAAGCTTCAGAGCTATCAATCTATTAAGAACAACAACTAACATTTTTATTGCATCTTACAGTTTTTAGAATGTTTTCTCATATATTCTAACTCACCTGAGACTCACATAATAACCATGATTATCATGAACATTTATGGGGTTCTTATAAGTCAAGGTATAATGCTAGGAATTGTGCCTGATTAAGCTCACTGAACGTTTTCAACATCCCTACCTATCAGTTAGTCATTATAATCACCTCTAGTTACAAATGAGCAATGAGGCTTAGACACATGAAACATACAAAACAAGAGCTTCAGGCTTTGGTCTTTTCACCTCACCATTCTGCCACAGAGGCAGGCCTCAGTTCTCCCACCCATAGTCGATTTTTCCCCTGAGGGTCTAGTGTCTCACATTTGTGACAGTCAACTTTCTATTACTGTCACAAATAACTGGGATAATCAACTTACAAAGACAAGCCCAGGAGGTTTCAGTACATCATTTACTAGCCCCAATACTCTGGGCGTGTGGCGAAGCAGTGCATCCCGACAGATGCCTGGTAGGGCAAACTGCTTAATTCATAGCCAGACACAAAAGACAAGGAGAGCAAGAGGCAGAGTTTTCACAATTTCCATCAAGGGCATGCACTCAATAGCCAGAAACCTCCCACTAGACCCCCAGGTTTTAAGGATTCCAGTCTCGCAACAGCACCACTCTGGGGAATAAGCCTTTAACATATGGGCCGTTGAGGAACATTACGGATTCAAACTATGGCAATATTATTGTCAGCACTGTGGGAACAAGGTCAAATAGACTCAGACATATTTTACAGCTGAATTAAAGAACTATCTAAAGTGAAAAATAAGACGACTATTTTAAACCTAGAGACAGATAGTACTGTGCAACAAACCAGTGTTATATCTGAAAAGAGGCATATTCAATCAACTCTGTATGTTTTTTTCTTAACTCTGTATGTTTGATTAAGAAAAGACTGATGCATTTAAATCACTGGTTCATGCCTCTTGCAAAAGGAATAGAATTGCACTGAAGTGAATATTAATCACATGCTTAGAATCTGGAATCCTTTGGTAATAACAAGAGTGTTGGATGTTTCTTTATATAGAATTACAGAGACAATAGTAGACTTAGCCATAAAAGTAAACATTAAAAGTATTTTTCTAGTCTGACAGTGACCTACTAAGGAATCAGAAGTTATTTTTATAATATTTAAAGACAGACCACAAAACATAAAAGTATACAGATTTTCTCCACACAGTAGAGGATTACTGTAATTTGAATTATGAGTTATATTTGCATGCTTGTTCAAGATTGTTTGGTTGTACAGGCATCTATTTTTCCCCGCTTCCACTTCCTTTCTACTCCCAGAAAAATTATTAGATGAAGAGTAGGAAGGAGCAGTTATATTCTGTAAGGCAAACCTCACAGGAAACCAAATTACAGTCTCAACAGAATCCCAACAAGTTCAACTTCCTTTTCTGTATTGATTTTAAGATTAAAGCATTGCAGCTTCACCCTGATCCATAATCCTATTCCTCTGTATTTGTATGTGAGTGACAGGAATTGATTCTGCCTGGCTACACATCCCACACTAAGAATTGAAAATCCCCATCCTGATTCAGAAGCGGGGTATTCTACAACATGTGGACAGCAATTAATAAAGGACAACCACCCTAACAAAGCCTGTTTAAAACCCAAAACACTGCAGGAAAGATGAGCATGGGGAGATTACTCCAATTTTAGGAAAAGGGGCCCGATTCCATTCCCAATTACATTATTGATATCATCTCCGAGGTAGTTTGGGAGCCCCTTTCTCTCTTATGACTCAATTTACTCCTCTAATAACCAAGGATAATTTGATTGCTTCTTTATTGGCTCACATGACTCACGTATTCAATCTGTGCATTGGCACTTTGACACTAGCTGAATTACTGTGCCACTGTTCTCAAGTCATCACAGGTGTGTTTGGCCTTTCTGACCAGATTATTATCTTCTCAAGAGGAACCGGCATTCTCCTTTTCTTTGTGTCCATCTCTGATCTTTCCCTTTCTCCACTAACAGAAGAATGCTCACAGGCAAAAATAAACCTCTCTTAGTGTCTTGTATGTGAAAGATGTGGGACACATATCTTTGCATTAGTAAATCTCCATGAGTAAGGTAGGTTTTTTCTGTTTTTCTTGCACTGCTTTTGGTTACCAACAGTGCACTAATGGCATATGGAGGGGAAAGGGTGACTGAAACCACTGGTGTATACCTCCTGGAGATATGGTTTGGGGAGCAAACTGGAAGAATCAGCAGGGAATGATTAGAATGGCACGGTTTAATTCTAATGGCTGTGCTCAACACAGTACCTATACGATGCTATATGATTACATACAATTTTCAAGCTATTTGGTTGGTTTACCTTGTCACACTAGCACTCTGGATAATCAATCACTACACTGTCTTCAAGAAAAATGACACTGCAGCTTGCAAAATGATGGGAATTTTTATAGGAAAAAAATGTTCTCATTTTTCAAGAATTTATAACAATTTCTAAATCAGTGGCTCAGGCAGATAAATGCTGAAAATACCACATTTCAAACAAGGTTTATCTTATTTTACTTATTTGATCTCTGTCCATCCTGATTCATTAATTTTGAGATTTGCCAAAGCTGAATATAAGGAATTCATAAGTGAACCCCTGATTTTATTCACCATGATTTCTATTAAACACATTAAAATGAGTGATATTTGTTTAGAACAACTCAGCTGACATTTCTGACAACTTATTAGCAGGTAATAAAGTTTGAGTATGACAAAAAATAAAGGAAGAAAATGCCAGGACAGTTGATGCACTAAGAAACTGCGATGAAAAATGAACAACTAAAGTTTATTACAGGGATACAATACCTATCTCAAGTTGGAAGTGGGAATATAAAAACCAGCTCTTTGGTTCTGTGCTTCCCTACTATGTTCAAAGCCCTAGATTCAATTTCTAGCACTGCAAAAACAAACAAAAAACAAAAAATAAAGATGACCTTTCACCTTTGACACCACATTATTTGCCAGAATGGACCTCTGCAGCATGGTACTAATAATATTAATTGGAAAATTGGCTCCAAGCTCAAACAACGGTGAGTTAAGGAAAACAAAAGTGGTTTCTTTATTGGAAGACTGAAAGTCTTTAATATGGTAATATCATTATAAATCTTAAGGTGGTAAATATAGTGTTTACTTCCCCTAACTATTGAAATTTAAAAAACAAAACCATTTTTCATAGTCAATCCTTTTACATATATACTGGAAGAGTGTTTCTACAATACATTTCAAGGTACTATTCAGCAAAACAGAAATAACTAATGTTATGGAAGGTATAGAAGTATACAATAACATTAGCAGACAAATTACTCCTTTTGTGTCAAGCCATGTTTTTGACAGAAAGCATGGTCTCTCCTTTCTGGAGGTGATGCTAATCTAGTTGGGATACTACCACCTAGACTAGGAAACAAGTGATATTACAAGAACAGATAAAAATAGGTATGAAGACAATGTGGTGAATAAGAGTAAAAGGTAGAAAAGCTTGTATTGGGATCTAGAGCACGGATGAGATTTGGAAGCTTGCTGAGATACAGGTGAAGTATTTCATGCAAGAGACAAGTGTAGGCAAAAGTTGAGAACAAGAGATGAACAGTTTGGAGAGAAGTGTGGTTGGGGCAGGGGCTCCTGTTGAGGAATGAGGGGAGAAAGGGTTACCCGGATGGGAGAATCAGCTGTGAATGGCCTAAATGAGGCAGGCTCAGAGTCACCTGCCCTTGGACTGCAGTAGGCAGTGTCTGAGGCCACGGAGCTTGGAATCCTAGTTACAGAGGTGAAAGCAATCCTTGTTTTCCAGTCTAATTCGCTAGTTAAAAAACAAAAACTGGACCCCCAGCTGCGCAGGCACCTGGGAAGTAGGCAGCAGGCGCCTGGAAAGCAGCATGGCGGCATGCGCTGGCCTGCGCATGGTCGAGAATTATCATGTCACACAGAAACACTGACACAATTGGCCCGCCCGGGGACATGTGTGAGCCATCCTCACATGGAGAAACCCCTGGGAAAACATGTCACACAATGGGTCGCTCTTGGCCCTGCCCTTGAGAACCAGGAAGGTCCAGAGTCAGCGGAGGAGCAGCTGCTGAACAGGGACTCATACGAGAATATGGACGGCACCCAATAACTCAGAGGTCGAGCTGAATGGGGACGCCAGAGCCATTTGGGAGCTGGAAACCAGGACGACCTTATGCAATACCTGGGGAGGACCTCCTGCAAGCCATTCTCCCCCTGACTGTATAGGCTGCGATGGAGGAGTGCATGGAGCTCCAGAGAGGTCTGCACCAAGACTTCATGGATTACAAGGGTGCCCAATATTCAGATTCTGGAGAACTGCCCTCATGGAGAAGGTATGTGTCTGGGTTACCTGCATGGGACACTTTGCACCTGATGGTGCTGAGACTGACTAGTGGGCTGAGGACTTCATCCACACATTCCTGCTGCCTGTGTTGACCACTGGGGAGAGGACACTAAGTGGTTGCGGGGACCCAATGCACTTGGAGGCTGGAGAGTCAATTGGCCTGGGTGCTCTGTTGATGGCTGAGACACAGGCCCAGAAAAAAAAGGGA